TTGGCGACAAACTTCGGTCGCCGAGGTAGACCCGGCTTTGAAAATCGGAAAAAAATAGCGGATTGTCAACACAACCCGATCTAGACTAAATAACAATCCTAAAAAATAAGCTCTTAATCAGAATAAACAGTCTTTCTCTAATTTTCAACATTTCTAGTACTGCTATGATAAATTCTTGAAATACTACTGTAAATGAATTAATGGCAATTTTTATGTTATGAGTAATGAAATTTACAAAATGTTAATATTTTTAATTACAAAATATAATGTATTAAACATTAATATTTTAAGTAATTAGTTCATATTTATATTTTATTATATTAGTACTTAGCTAATATTTTAAATTTACAAAAGGTTAATTTTTATGTTTATGAATAATGAAATTTACAAAAGGTTAATAAATGCATTTCAAACTAGTATATGTTACTTTAGTTTCTTAGATTAGAAAATAAAAAAATATTTCAAAGTGAAGGAAATCAAATTCAATTATAATGGGCAAGTTTTGTACCAGTGTTAGAAATATTTTTTTATGATTAAATATTGTAAATGGTAAAAATATTAAGAAGTATATATTTTTTAATCCCTCAATTTATTACAAGTAATTTATGATTATAATTTAAAAGCTAAAATTAAATTATCATAATGAGTAAATTTTGTACCAATAATAATACAACAATCATCGTAAATGATGATTTCTGTGAAAAATTCGAACAGTCATTGGAATCCACTAGTGGTGGAGTGATAGCCACTGAACAGTGGTAGTTCAGACTGGCTATATGAGAGTTTTAGTAGTTTTCCGTAGATGTAATGTGAATCTGAGCCAATTTCTCTTAAAAAGTACTTTATGAAAGCATCCTTCTTCTGCTAGCCAGCATATGTATTTATTTTCTATTCATAATTCTCTCTTATTTTCTTATTTCTTAATTCTAAATCTTACTTCTGAAGAGAAGAAGTGTTGCATCTATAGGTTGAAAAATATGGTCAATATGTTTGCAAAATCCTGTCAGTTTTGGAAAGCATTTAAATAAACTAAATAATTTGTATGTGATGCAAACAAAAATGCATTACACTATTTCATGTACTGAATTAATCAGGGAACAAAGTATATTGTAACGTTCCTTTATTTTGTAACCAGAGTATTTTTATGCTTGGGATGGGATCTTTACTGTCAATTTCATCCATCCGTTTTCTTACCAGAATCCAAATGAAATTTTTAGTTTGTAAAACAAACCGTGTTTTTGCCTTTTGAAGGCCACGTTAATAGGTTGCTAGATAAGAAAATAAGATTTGTAGTCTTCAGCCTTGCATTATAATTGCTGATAAGTTGAATTCCATGCCAGTTAAGTTTTGAACCAACTTTGCATTAAATTGATTTTTGTATAGCCTTTGGGCTACAAATTTATTTGAATTTAAATTTTACATTTGAACTTAATTGTTATCATAAGTTATCTTGCCACAAGTGGTTGACTGAGTCATAAGCACAAAAGTGTGCCTTCTGTTCTGTACATCTAAACTTTATAATAGAAATAAAAGTATATCTTAACTTAATAAGAATATATCTAAACTTTATGATAATAATTACATTTAAAGACATTGAAATCAGTATCTAAGTGCTTGCCATGTAGTCAAATTTTTATATATAATTGTACTCTTACTTTTATTATAGAGTTTTATTACAAAAAATTCAGATTTCTGTTAGATAAAATGTTTAAGTAATGTAGAAAATTTGCATAAAATTTAAAATAAAAAGTCGACTGTTATGTCAACATACTATTAATTAAAGTAATAATACTCAGTGAAGGTTATTTATATACAGCTGTTTAGGTTTGTAAGATTTACAAAATTTGAGAACTCTAAATTATAAGCAATATATTCCATAATCTAAGCAACATTATATTTTTTATAGTCAGACAAATTATGAAAATGTTATAAAAGCAATAATGAAACCTGATTTGAACCTATGAATTCATGCAATTACACATCCCTATAGTTCTAATATGAGGTAAATAAGTATTTTTAGACCATGGTAATTTTGATCTCCTTAGCAAAGGAAACACCAAGAGTTTACCTCATGCTACTGAAAATGTGTTTTTTTTTTCCTTGGGTGGGTGGGGTGGAGTTTATAATAATATGCAGAGTTGACATATGAAAAAATGTCAAGACTCATGTGATGTAATATTAAAAGCACCAGTTTTAACTATCAAAAATTTGGCCTTTTTAAAAAATATTTTAAATGTTGTGCTTTCCTAACACAAAAGTAACTTTAAGAAAAACACACAATTTATCCCTCCTGCCATCAAAGCTTTGATACCTATCAAATACGTTAAAGTTACGTGGACAGAAACGGCGGCATGTTTGAAGCTCAGTATTTAGGGTTACCAAGTTTATCATAATTTTTCATTTATCGCTCCAAAATATCGCCAAACAAATTTCTTGCCAAAAAGGACTAATACTAAAGCTGTGCCGGATTCTGTTATTAAAAGAAAATAAAAAAATATTTCAAAGTGAAGGAAATCAAATTCAATTATAATGGGCAAGTTTTGTACCTAAAATGGTAACCAATTTTTAATCTAATATTTTTTTATGTGTGCATATTTAATACAAATAATCAATAGTTTGTGCAAATAGCAAAATATTTTTTTTAATACAGTGTCTCACAAAAGTGATGGGACACTTGTGCTTTACAAAAGGAAAATGTAATAAAATTAATTAAAAATACATGTAAAAATTTTTTGTGGGTGTGTTTCATACTTTAGTAACAATTATTACATAACATACATTTTCTCAAAATATTAAAATATTAATTTAATAAAAATACAATTGTTTAGAACGGAGCAAAAAATGGCTCACATAAGTGATGGGACACTACGTACTATGCAACAAAAATCGTCTGAAGTAAGCAATAAAAATATCTTTTGGGGTATTTATTTTTACTCAAAAGCAATTGGCAATAATTTATAAAATCGTCTGCAGTCTTTCTCTCCAGTTTGTTTTGGAATTTTTGTGTTTTTTAGCTCTGTGCAGCCATGAATGCTAAACGAAAAGAAACTTTGCCTGAAATTCGAAAATTAGTTACTAATTTGCATATTGAACGTGGAAAATCTATTAGAGAAACTGCTGAAACAGTTAACTTCAGGGTTTAATCCTAGTATCCGGTGCACACAGGATTTAGCTACTTTTGGCGACTTTATGATGAGCAGTAAAAACGGGACATGTACAACGAGTAGTAAACGGGTAATTCAAAGAATATATATAGTTATATATAGTATATATTATGTATATACACACATAGTATTAGTGTATAGTATATAGAGGTTCTTTGGATCATTTTTGGTGTGGGTGATAATTTTCAAAATCGAGACGTTCTTTGGATCATTTTTTGGTGTTGGCGATAATTTTCAAAATCGCGCCAAGGCTGCACCATATACTAGGATTTTACCAACTTCAGTCATTCAACAGTTTTCAATATCATTAAACAATATAAAAAGAATCGTATGATTTAGGATAAAAAGAAGACCTGGTCGACCATCAAAGCTATCCAATGGAATAAGCGAATTATCGTTCGAAATATTAAAAAAAATCCAAGAATGAGTGCTCCTAAATTTGCTGCTGATTTACAAGCATTATATGGAGTAATTGTTAATCCTGAGACTATTAGAAGAGCAATTCGATCTACTGGATATCATGGTAGAGCAGAAAGGAAAAAATTCTTCGTAAGTGAAAAGAATAGAAAACTCAGACTGGCTTTTGCAAAATCCAACATAAAAATAAGAATTCTGATTACTGGAATGAAGTTATATTTGCTGATGAGAGTAAATTTAATATATTTGGTTCTGACGGTAGAATCTTGGTGTGGAGAAAACCCAGAGAAGAATTTCGCAAGCAGAACTTGGTGCCAACAGTAAAACATGGTGGAGGAGGAGTTATGGTATAGGGGTGTATGTTGTCCGCTGGAGTTGTTAACCTTGTTTTTATTGACAGTATAATGGATCAGTACATGTATATTGACATTTTAAATCAAAATTTGAAATCTTCAGCAATTGAACCTTCATAACGATTTTAAATTCTGCCAGGACAATGACCCCAAGCACACTGCTTTGAACGTTAGACTCTGGCTGTTGTATAACTGTCCTGAAATAATGAAAACACCACCACGATCTCCAGACTTAAATCCCATAGAGAATATTTGGCAAGAACTGGAATCAAGAATTTGCAAACACACCATTTCTTCAAAACAACAATTAAAATCTATGCTTCAAGAAGAATGGGGTAAAATCACTCCAGAAATCACAAAAAAATTAGTCGAATCCATTCGAAGAAAATTAAATCATGTTTTAAAAGTAAAAGGAAATCCAACAAAATATTAAAAACCTTTAAAAAGTAAAGTTTTTTGATAAATATTTGACGGAAAAGTAAGTGTCCCATCACTTATGTGAGCCATTTTTTGCTCCGTTCTAAACAATTGTATTTTTATTAAATTAATATTTTAATATTTTGACAAAATGTATGTTAAGTAATAATTGTTACTAAATTTAAGTATGAAACACACCCACAAAAAAATTTACATGCTTTTTTAATTTATTTTGTTGCAGTTTCCTTTTGTAAAGCACAAGTGTCCCATCACTTTTGTGAGACACTGTATTTCTATTCAGAAACTGAAAAATAATTATTGTAAAATGTAGTGGTGGTACTAACGTTTTTCAATTTTTGTTTAGGTGGTATGCGTTAGTCAAAAAGCTGAGGACTGGATTAGAGTATTTAGTTTATGTAAAATGGAATTCGTAGGATATTCGCTTAAGAAGAAGGATGCTTTTGTGGAGGACTTTCTAAGAAATACTGACTCATATTTACATTACACACGGGGAAAACTAATAAAACTCCCGCTCAGCCAGCCCGGAATTTGAAACCAAGTCAAACTCCTTGTATTCAGCGCTCGATCACTGGTCAGTTATTTCATAGTTAACTGAAATTTTGCTCAACTTATTTCTAATTTTTGATACCTCAACGATTCTACTTTACAATAATATTCCTCCAGCAGTTCAGCGATCAATTCCTTTTCATCAGGTGGGACATAAGGATGTTCAGGAATTCTGTACAGTTTAGATGGAGCAGTGGGTAACCACATTGGTTTTCTTATAGGAATTTTCTTCCACCTCAGCTGCGTTGTGACTGGCACAGCAAGTCGAATATTCCCAAAGAAATATGGGGACCACACGCAAGGAAAACATTTGTTTAAAACAAATGCCATAGCTCAACAGTAATAAAAAATATAACAAACATACAGTAACAACAACAAAACATACGTTGCCAGACGAAGCTTTAATAAAACTATTAAAATTTTTAAAGGTAATATTTAGTTTCTGAATATTTCTCCTTTTTATTGTAAATAGTTCTCGAGGATTCTTTCAACTTTGATTTCACTCATATTTTAATATGTATTGGAGCATTTTTATGTTTACTACGTTCTTTGCCTAGCTTTTCAATGCCCAGATTTTTTTTAAGAGCTCGACGACTCAACTCATTATTATCAGCTATTATGTTGCTATGGTTACAAGGAGAAGCAGCAGATGTGTTTCGGCGGGTATGAGACTATGTATTAGTAATTTTGATATTTGTGATTCGAATATTTAAAACTAATACGATATACGAACCGATACGTCCATTAGATAAATCAAGTCGCTTTTTAACTCTTTATTAGAACCCTGATGTTTTCTATTTCTATCCGAGATAGCACAGGATTCGCTACAGGGGAAACAAAAGAAAAGTAAAAATATAGATATATTTTAAAATTGATGTTCCCTCTGAGTCTTCAAATGGATACAATTAAATGTATATCTCTTTGCATATAGGTCTGTCAAGCCTAATTTTGCACAAACTGAAATATTACAAAATGATGAGAAAAACTGCCAAGTTCCTCAAAGAGAAAGTGTTCAGGTAATGCAAATATTAAACACGTCGAGAAAAAGCAATAATTTTGATAAAAATTATTTTATAAATAATAGTGTTATCTCAGGTTTAAATCAACAGTTATTTTAATGTATACTAAGTAATAATTTTTTTCGGCTGATCTTTGGAATATGGTAACTGGTAGTTTGGCGACATTTTGGAGGCAATAAAGGTTACTACCTAGGACTTTGGTAATAATGTGAGAAGTACTCAGTTCCGATTATGCATTATTTTGTGTGAGGGAAATGAGAGATCATGAGATATGTCATGTGACATTAATGGACGAATTACAGTTCTTTAATCCGAAAAGGGGGATAATTTGGAAATCTCTAGTACTATATTATTTTGTATTAAGCTTCATTGTGTGTTGTGTGAAATAGTGGAAGTGTGCATGCCACGTAATGAAGATTCTGAAGATTAGGTAAGTTAGTATTTTTAATCATTTGAGGATATTATTTTTATGCATTGTTCTAAATGTAAGGAGTAAATAAATTTATATGGTATTATTGGAAAATTGTTATATTAGCAATGATTTAGTTTAAAGTAATTAGGATTGTAATCTAATTTTTATTAATTTAATGTATGTGCTTATTTATATTTTAAGTAGTGGTTTTTAATTTAATTATATTTTAATTTAATGATCATGGTTTTGTGAGTTATACGTTTGTAGTATTTTGGAATACGTTTGAGTAGAATACGATGAGTATTTTTCATGCATTTTCATGAAATTTTTCTAATTTATGAGAAAAAAGCAGTGTACATGGATATAGTGAAGAGTGTGCGCAATGCCATTTTTGTGCAATTCTGGGAGGGTTTTTTTAAGTAAAAATAAGTCGACGTGTACATGGTTTAGTGATATTTTAATTAAATGATAGTTATTTTGTGAATTTTATGTTTGTAGGAATTTGGTATACGTTTCAGTTGAAGTAAATGTGCATGGAAATAATTTAAATATTTGACACTAAGTATTTGTAACCATTTGTAATGTTTGCGGTATGAATTCGTTGGTGACGTTTATAATATAATAGATAATTTAGAGGTAAAAGTTTTCGGATATTTTATTTATTTTATACGTGGAAATGTTCATCTTTGGAAAGGGTATATACTTTTTCGTGATCAGGTAATTTCATATATGTTATTTTTATTGGATTTAAAGATTCACAAAATTTTCATGCATTTTCGTGCAAATTTTTGTAATTTATGAGAAAATAGCAGTGTAGATGGATAACGTTAAGAGTGTGTGCAATGCCATTTTTGTGCAATCCTGGGATATTTTTTTAAGTAAAAATAAGTGGACGTGTAAATGGTTTATGTGTATGTGCTATTCTGAAAAACGCGCAAGGAATTTGCGATTGTGCACTTTTTCCCAATTTTGCAGTTAATATTTGTCATGATTAAGCAGTTTTGTTACATAAAATTTCTAGCATAAGTGTAATTCGACTAGTAGATTGTTGGAAAAAGTGTTCAGTAAATAAAAAGAAAAGAAACATGTCTTTACTTCGTGAAGATAAAATGGCGGCGAAAAAAAAAATAGAGGGTTGCTGTAGCAGAGTTGGTTGCCAAATTTTCGCCAAAAAATCGTTAAGTTACCATAATCCAAAGATCGAAATTTTTTTCAATATATTGAAATACTTGTATTTAATAAACTAAATCTAATAAATAAAAAAAATCTCTTTTCTAATAATTTATCTTATATATATATACATGCAAATACACCCCCCACACATGTAGAGGTTAGACAATGAAACATCTATATTTGTAAAACATTTTATGGAGGTTCAGCCGATGTTTAATTAACTAATATTTGCATTACTTTTGTCTTATGTCAATAAATGATGCATTGCTAAGTTTGGTAGCGCCCTAAGTTTATCTGCACAGTTATTTTAATTTTATTTTTATTGTATTAAAAGTATTTTGATAACTAAAAGTTTTTCTTCCCTGCACAGGATTTTTTTTTTTTTTTTCAGTATTAAAATGTCAAAAAATTACAAAAAGAAATTAGCTAAAATACCATTAAATTCAGACTACCTAATTCGATATTAACATATATTATTTCAGAATCAAATTACAAAAAGTTAAGTAATCTGAATCATGTATTAAAGAGTGAATTCAATCTGAAGTTCTTTTGAAATAGTGTCACTTCACAGTGTGAAAAATCTGTCAGAAACTCCCAGTTTTCATGGTGAACCTCTCGATTTTTCATCTTACAAAGTTTGCAGCTATGGGTTTGTGTTAGAGTGGAAAATGTTCAAATTCACTTTAATTTTCTTCAATTCATTTTATCTCTAGTTTTGTGATGTAAATTGATGTATTGCCATTTTGATATAAGGCAAATTTTGAACAATTTGATGGACTTGGTTAATATATAGTCATCGACAGTGATGTAATTTTTAAAAAAGAATCTGTGTTCTCAGACTCTTTTTATGATACTGTGACTGAAACTATCACTAGTGTTCTTTGTTCTTCATTGTAGGCATGAAACAGTTGAGATCATGTGCCTCTGAATGATCTATATATAAACTGCTTTCCATATGTAAACTGTTATAAAAATGAGAAAGAAAGTAAAAAGAATGACTGTATATATATATATACACACTCGTATATTCATACACGTAATGTCTCAGAAAAGTCATCAAACATTTTTAGTTTCTAAAAATAATGCTAAACATTTAAATGTATTAAACTAAAACATAATATGGGCTTTTCTTAAAAATCTGTGTGTCCTTTTTTTTAGTAGAATTTTTTCCAAGAATAAAATATTGAATTTAAAAATTACTATCTTCTCTTTTTGAGAGGAAACGTTATGTCACAATTTTTTTTTTTAATCTTTTGCTGTTTTTCTTGTAAAATATGGTTTAATCTTTCTGGAATAGTTTTACTGAGAATTTTTTGTGCATACTTAACATATTTGCCTCTTTCACCTTGTACCACTCATTTCATTCATTGTTTATAGAAGTATTTCTTTTTCCAAATTTGATATTTCATTTTTTATCGAATGTCATAGGGTTTAAATATAGTCTTAGATTATTGAGTATTTCAAAACAAAGTAAACAGTAGCCAGCATTATATATTCATAACCATATGCTTAAAGTCACAGTCACTGTCTTGCTAGAATTTTGAATTACTTTAGTTTCGGATGTTTTGCACTGATGATTTGAAATTCTATCTGTGACTATCAAAATGTTAGTTATTCATTCATTACACCATCAATAAAAGCAAAGTTATGGTTTCAAAGGCAGCGCATCAATCATACTTCTCTTCCTTTAGGGCTATTTCTGTCTAAAACTTGACTTCTGTCTAGACTTACTTCTGTCTAAACTAACCAAAAAATGCTAAATTGTTTTCCTGCATCAAACATTACCTTCTTCAAGCATTCAAAATTTTAATTTCTCTGATTTTGAGATTGAAGTAGTTATCTGTTTTCTTAATAATAGAATTTCCCCCTTTCCACTCAGGCAATTTCCATCAGTACTTTCATTTTGAATTTTTTCATACTTTGAATAATATTTGATATATAAAAAATTCTGAAATGCTTTAATTAAATATTTCAGATTTTTTTGATGGATCTCTCTTTTTCCATGCTGAAACTAAAAATTAATTTGCAATTTTTAATGCTGTATCCTTTGTTGAAGTAGCTAAGGAAAGAAAATATCTATGTATGTATAAATAATACAAATTTTAAGAAAAACCTTGCTGAAGAACTCTGTCTCATTCTTTCTTTCTCTATTTTTTTTAAATGATTTTTAAGATGTCAATTTTTTTGCTGCAAAATAAGTCACAAACTTATCTATTGTATTAACATCAGTTTTTGACCTCTGTATTGTCCATTGACCATTTTTATGCCCTGACATGAACTGTTATGGATTCAAATACCTTTTTGGTGTAAAGCAATGACATTGTTTTTATAAAACACAGCAGCTGTTAAGTTATTAAAAAGAAATGCATTATTATTTTTAGTCCTTGAAAAATTTGGTATTTGTAAAATACTTTCTGTCTGAAATGAAATTTCATCTTCTAACTATATGTCATCATTTTAAAGGATTAAATTAATGTCCTGAAGAAATTTTCAAAATGAGAGTAATCATCTGAAAATTAGACTTTTGAATTTTAATTTTTCAAAAATGTTTGGTTTAAGCAATGAAAGTTAAAATTCTACTTCTAAAGAGATGGGATTCAACTTATCCTGGAACTGGAAGAAGAAAATTTTTGAAAATGATGTCAAAATTAATGCAATTGTTGTTATATATATATATATATATATAATTTATCAAGCAATTTTACATTAAGTGCAAATTGCAGTTCTGTTTTTTTGTATTGGAATTTGTAATATAGCTCTTGGTATGAATACGAATGTTACAAGTTATGTTTTTTAATTATTACATTTGAATACATTCCATTTTCATTGCTAATTTTTGTACATGCTTGTGATAGCAATAAAATTCATGATAAATGGGAAAAAAGTTTTTGTTGTGAGCTATTTAATGAAGAGCAGATTTAAATGTGCAGTTCTTACTATTGTGTATATTATTCAAATCATTTCTGCGCGGTATCCAAGGGAAAGTATCCAAAGGAATGTTATTGATTTGAAAAAATGAATAAAATGGCTGTGAGGATCTATCATTGTCTAAAACAGATATATACAGTTAAAAGTCGTTAATCCGGACACCCATAATCCGGAATGATCTATAATCCGGACCTCAAAGCTACAAACTTTCTGCGCATGCGTAAACGCATAATGCGTTTATGCATGCGCATAATACCTTTACGCATGCATGTTTAATGTATAACGGACGATATAAGCTAAGCTAAAATTATCTAATTATCTATTTGAGTTAATGTTGCTGATTGCGTTGTTCCTTAATCTTCGAATTGGTTCCGGCTTATTATTTTTTTGCAGACTGTTAGAGCAATTTTGTAAAAGTAAGCTTGAACTTTCGATTATGTCAAAAAGAATTTCCGATTCTGGAGCTGCCAAAGGATCTAGAAAGCGAAAGTATGTGTCGATGTTCATCAAACAAAAAGTGGAATTGCTGCAAAAAATGGATAAAGGCATATCCTTTGTTTCTCTAACCATTCTGAAATCTGTTTATCAATTTCACGCTACTCTGCAGGAGGAAGGGGGGAATGTCGCCGCGCGCAATGAACTGGAAGTTGATCTGTCAGCACTATCCTTATCTTCAGGGCAGATGTTTTCATTTTATTCAGCTTATAATTCCTTAGTAAATGTAGTATTTCATCTTGATGTACTCCGTCTTTGATATGATTTATATCAAATTCCTCGTCATTATAAATATCACGAGTACACATCAAATAGTTTTCTGGTTGCAATTTTCTAATTTTGACTATGCGTAATGTATGCTTTACGCATGCGCACGTTGAAAGAAATGTTTAATAAAGTAAACAAATAAATATTAAGCTTTTTTTTTTTTGTAAATTTTGATACCCTTTAGATCATAATTGCTCTTTTTTTCATATATTACGGTTTAATATTTTTAATTTTATAATTTCTGCATGCCATCTTACCAGACTTAAACTGATGATCTATAATCCGGAAAAATCGATAATCCGGAATCGCCGAAGTCTCAACGAGTCCGGATTAAAGACTTTTGACTGTATATATTTACATATGATCAAAGGAAATGATGTTAAAAATCATCAGCATTGCTACTAATTATTGTACTTTTAACAGCTTAAACACTAAATGATTTTTTATTAATTGAAAATAGTAGTTTCTGTTACTTTTTTCTGGTAACTTTGAAACATTGCATAGTTTATGTGGTTTTTTTTTTTTTTTTTTTTTTTTTTTATTTTTTTTTTTTTTAAATTTTAAATATTGCCAGTTGTGTATGTTGTTTGTTAGGTTATCTGATTTCAAATATGAATGTTGGAAGGCTTTTTTGTTATAAGATTTAGGTATGTTTCTTGTATGAAATATGTTTTATCACATTTATTAGCTAATTTATATAGCATTTCATTTACATACATTGGAGATATAGAAGTTGATGGTTATATATTTTGCTCTTAAACGTGAAAAATTAATACTTGAGCCTAGGTAAAATATTAAGAACCCCCTTCCCAGTTTTATCATGACAGTGGCAATTTTCAATCAGCATTTAAATTTTTGTAAAATGTTCGTTTGTTCTTCGGTTCTTTCAATTATATTTATGCACAAAGTTAATTAAAATATCTGTAAAAAGCCTAAAAAGTGAAAATAATGTATATAAAGCCTCCTTTCTTTCAGCTATTTTAATTAACTAAGCAACATGCTAAAGTTATATTTCCAATGAAAATTTAAAAATCCAGATGACTTTCCGAAGATAACATCGGACGGAAAGCTCCGCCATGTTTATAAAGTGTCATGTCGTCTCCCTCTTGAAGGCCACGGCTAAGTACAGTAAAAACCTGACTATCCTGCATTCAACTAACCTAAAAGCTCAAGTAACTGGAGTATTTTGGAATATTGGAAAAAAAGATTCCCTCAAAAAATTTAGCATTTGAGAGATCTTAAACACCTTTATTGAGCTTGTAATACTATTAACATGCATACATTATCACTAAACAGTGTAATTTATTACCAATAATGGAGAAGCATAATATCACAACACAATTATAAGAAGTCTGTTTTGGTTTACTGCAAATTTGATTAACTCTAAGCCAGTATAAATTTTACAAAGATGGACATAAGTTTCCAATTTTGCAAAAAGGATTAATATTTGGGACTTCAAGAAATGTAGTGTTTTCAAAGTTACAGTATCCAGGCATCGAAAAAAGCTATGATATGCAATTTGAAAATGGCTAAACAATGGGGATGTAATGTGAAAAATTAAGATCTGTTCCTGTAAACTTCTGTCAGAATGACTGGCAACATTTCCACTAACTTTAATGTATGGCAAGATTTCATAATCGGATCAGATACTTTACTTTCATGTTTAAGGCCTATGAAATACATCAGCTTTTATGACCAAAATGTATTTTTTCCCCTCCCCAAAATCTTATGTTATTTTAAATGTGCATCTTTGATATTCAAATTAGTAACAAATAAGATGACTGTTTTTATAATTTTAGAATGAAAATTTCCTGCATTCATTTGGCTTTTCTACTGTGAATTCAATTTTTTACATGCTCAGCTATCCAGAATTTTCACATATCCGGAATTCAGCATTTCCCGAGCTCTCCAGATGGTTGAGCTTTTACTGTACTTCAGATTTTCAAAAATGTCATTCTGTGCTTTTAAAAACTATGGAGTTCTTTGCAGAAAGATTATTTTTTTCCCCAAAAGCTATGTAGTAATGTAAAAAGATGATTGTCTTTACATTAGAGTCAATGAATGGACTAGTCATAGTGAAGCCACAACTTTTGTAATTTAATTTGTGAAGCACGTCCATTCACATATAGTAAATGAAAATCATTATTTATGTGTAAAAAAAAAATTGTAAGTAATAATCTTTAAAACTCTTTGATGTAATAATGATCTTTTTGTCATTCAAAGTTTTAAGAATAATTACATGCAAATTTCAGGTCTTAATTATTTTGTCAATTTAGATTTGATATTATAGCATAAATATCACTACCTTGCTTTTCATTTATGCATTTTAAATTTATTTTGATGTAGGTTCAGACAGATACAAAGGAGAAGAAAGGAGATATATTTGTTGAATTTGATGTAAATAATTTATCAAATTTCCTGTCAAGGGTGACCCCACTTGTTTGTTCTGTTTTAGAAAAGAATGTTAAAAGTCAAGCATTTCATCGATATAATTTGCTGTCAGATAATGATGACAGCACAATTTCATGTAAATATTTGCTTGAAAAGTCTTTACCTAGTGATGTGAGTATCCTAAATTACTAGAAAAAGAGTTTTTTTTTAATTACATTGGTATCTGATTACAACTCAATACTACATTATTGTAAAAAATTAAATAAATATTAAGTTTTGTTTGGTAAAAAGTTTCATAAAAAGAGGTTGAGAGTGTTTCAGTAATTGATGATTATCTCTTTAGAATGTATATCATTTAATATGAATGTGTATCATAATTGCATAACTAAATATTTTTTGAATGATTAGTCATAGACCAAGATGAAAATTTAATTTTGTATTTAATATAATATTTTGAGATAAGTAGTTTATGATTGTAAGTATTTATAATAATTTGCTGTAGCCACCCAACCAGTATAGTAGTTAACATCGCTGATTGCCGTGCTAAAGGGCCCATGTTCGAATCCCGGAGAAGGCATGGGTGTTTGTAAATGTAGTGTCGGTGTGGCATGGCGGCACTCTAAGTATGTGGCGAGCCAAAAATCCTCTCATGTGGTTTGTTAGAAGGGGAGAGGGGTGGGGGACTCTCGGACCCTTTCCCTTGGAGTGCTTTTGTTCAAAACTGGGGACTGAACTGAACTTTAGCATTGTTACCTGAATGGTGCTCAGGACTGTTGCCAACGGCAGGCGTAATCAAGCTTTCCTTGCCATGAGGAATTTCGTGGACTTAGGCTGACTATGTAACATAAGCAACAACAACATAATTTGCTGTAATCACTTTATAAGTAATTTGATAAATATATAATATATTTCAAAATAATTACATGACTTTTGATGGTTGGTCACTGACTGAGGATTCTATGTTTGTACGTACTTAGAATCTGTAATACTCTCTATAAAAATAAAATAAAATAAAAATAAAAAAGGAGAACATTTATCATGATTTACAGGAAAAAATTAATGACATTTAAAAATCTTTTGATAAGAGCAAAATATTAATAAAAGCAAAAGTAGTGAAAGCTGTATTATATGCTTAAAAAGACTCATGTAGCTGGAATGAATCTATTCACCTTTATGCTACTACCATTTGCCAACAATAAAGGTAAAAATTTCTACTTGATTCATTCCTGCATGAAATTTACAAACCTCATCACTGTAACAACCACCCACCACACACAAGCATATTCAGTTTTCAGTGCAAATTCCTGAAAGATAGCTTTAAATACTGAAAAAAAATATTAAATCATAAGTTTTAAATTACTCTTTGTAGGTATACTTAAATTAAAATCTTGCATTTAGTGAAAATTAATTTTTTATGATCACTAAAGTCAATACATTTGACCATGGAAAAGTAGTTTTAAGTCATTAATTGTGCCAACATTTTCAGGGTTAAGGTTTCCCGCTTCCCTCCAAAAGCCTTAAAATGCTTGAGGAACAACATATTACCTCGAATTTCTTTTAATTTTATTTAATTGTTAGTAAATATGTGTAATCAAAATTGTCCGGTTATAAGTATTGCAAAGTGTAAAACAACTTAAAAATTATCCCAAAGGTTTGCATTTTTGGTGTGGTATAGTTTGCGAACAGGAAAGAGTTCTCATGATTTATTTCTTAACTTAGTTACTTGTTTCCGTTTTGTATGATGTATATGTTTTGCTAGAAAATTTTGTGTCACAAATTTAAATTAGTGGAATTACTGGGTGCGGCTGATGTGGAACAGAGAGTTTTTTTTTTCTCTGAATATCTGTTTTGGGGGTGGAGAAAGCAGGGAAGAGTGTTTTGCTACTTGCTGAATATTTCCCCAAATAGAATTTCTTAGCAGGCTGTGAATAGGAGTTACAATGAGAAAAGAGCAGTTTAAGGTCATGTTGTTGCTTTACTTTTGTTCTTGAAAAATAAATTGTCATTTCGAAGTTCATTAGCTGCAGTTGATTTGTTAGTGACTAGATGGAAAAGCAACAAGCTTTTGTTAAGTTTGCAATTAAAGACAAAGGTAGTTTCCTACTTCAAAATATAAGGGGGCAATTTTTTGTTCTCCCGCATTTGGTGACTCATTGATTGGGGTCAGGATAACAAATTCTTTCTATTGGAATAAGAAATGAAGTAAATTAGTCCTGCATTGGTCATAGCATTATCAGGATCAATGTTCCGTCTTACCTTCTTCGGGAACATGCAAGGACCTGACTCGGAACAGAGAGCTTACTAAAGCTATGTTCAAAACTGTGGGAAGTAGACAGGATACACAAGAAGGGTATACAAAAACCCTTTATTTTTCTCTATTTACAATGACTTCCGTACTTCAGAATACACAGACCCGCTACTTGGGGTCTAACGTAAAAATATAAAAATAGAACTAAACTCTAATTTAACTTTAAAATAATAAACGTGGAAGATTGGCCTTATATTAACAGGAAGCCGTATGTAGTACAGAGAACTGTGAACACTACAATACATTTAAAATTTATCAAGAGGATTAAAACCTCTGGCCTGGAAGGCAACCAGCAACTGCGTACAACTTCTAAGGTAAGCGGCCTGCTTCGACTCACTGCTTCCTCCCTCTCGCTTGGCAAAATGCCGCAACTTAAATACTTGGCGTTCGCCAGACAAACTTTGCATAAATACTATAACGCTTATAATTCTGGCTGGAAGTAGAAAATAAGAAGTGATAGTAAAGATTAAAATAAAATAAAACGTTAGTAAAACTTAAGATCCTTACAGCATAATTTAAATTTTTTTTCAACCTATTACAATTTTGTTGGCTTGAAAAACAAGTTTTCCTTGAAGGACTGCACAGCAGGAGAAATCAGATTTGGCTTGATCTTGATAGAGAAGAGAACTTGAAAGTGGAAGGTCTGACTTCTCTTTAGGGAGGCTGTTCCCTCCTGCCAGTGGCTGTGACCTCAAATGGGCTAAGATCTTTTAGCTTGCATTGCCATCATATTATTGGCCCATGTTTAGTAGAGAAAAGTGAATATGAAGGCCAAACTTTGCTCGATGCAGCGCTGGGCTACTGAGAGCGCTTTCTGCTTCTGTTAGGTAGCCCTTCTTGATTAAAAAAAAAAAAAAATATTATGCAAGACTTAAAGTTAGAGTCATTCCTGAAAGATCTCCATCATCACCGCCTTTGAAGAATTAAGTATGCATTTTTTGCAGCTCATTGTTTGTATGTAAAATCAGGGAAAGAATGGGTGCTTCAGAAGAATGAGCTGGAATTGGAGTAGTGGTTCTTCTAGCTAGAGGATAGAAATCAAAGGAAGAAAAACTGTATTTGGCAAGATTATGAACATCTTAAGGAGAATTATTTCAGTCTCTGTATTCTCCTGATATTCTTGAGGACAGTGCAATTGGGGGGGGGCAGTTTGCAATTTTCGGGTAGAGTTAGTTTTGGACATCACCAACTGGAGTGCCGCAAAATAATTGAAAGGGCAATTTCTTCAAATCCTCTGCTGTTATTCATGAGAACGAGCAGTTAGCACAGTGAATTAGATGTCATTGACCCTGTTTAAATGGATCTGAAAAACAAGGACAAGGAGAATTTCCTAGGCGGACAGTCATTTTCATTTATGGGCTACCTTGAGTTCTGAAACTGTGGGGGTTTAATTTTCCTTTGCATTTTTTTTGCTTGTTATTTAACTGTTAATATTTTGGATGGTTAATTACCAAGGAATAATTAGTTGCTTTTAATAATGTTAAATATAAATTTGAAGTTAATTAATAACTGGAGTTAATCTGAAGTTACTTAACAATTAAGGAAATGAATTTTTAATGTTTAATTTTTATAAGTTAATATGGGGGAACTTCAGTGTATATCATGAGAGCAAGAATAACATTTAATGATCATAGAATATTATTTTATGGAATTTAATTTAGTAAATTGTTAAATGTCTGAAGATGAATTATTTTCTGTATTACCTGACAGGTCAATTTATTTGTCCTTCAAATTAAAAATGTTGATATTTAAAATGTGAGTAGTTTTAAAAAAGTGTTGTAGAGACTTGGAGCCAGTGATCTTAAACTATTAATTATGGTGAATTGGAAATAATAAGTATTTTTTAAAATGTAAATTAGTGTAATGTTGTTATTTTGTTCTCTACTTTGGTCATTCCAATTCTTTGAACCTTATGTTTTCTAGAAACTTGGAGATTTACTTGCTTGGATTTATTTGAGAAAATACTATATAATGCTTAATCTTGATTTATAGAAGGTTGATGATGTAGTAATTGAATTTATTCATTTATTATTATTAAGGAGAACTGAATGATTGGTATGTTTGAATATTTCTTCCTCGGTGTTTGTGGTGTTGTGTATTAATGAAAATGAACTTGTTGCTATCTCTATAGAAAGTTACAAAAATAATCGTGTATTTGTTTTGGTAATTTTGTATTTTCAAGAAGGTTAGTTAATGGTATAGATTTTAATGAGAGGTAGCATATTTATGTAATTTGGGCAATGAAATGAAAATTTTGATTTTTATTGAAATACATGCTCTGACTTTTAATACCAGGCTATCAGAGAAGATTTATTCCTCTTTACTTTCAGGTTATAGAAGTATTAAGATTGAATCTTGAGATTTGACTTTTGAATTCTTATTTATTACTTACCTCTGAAGACAGGTATTTGTTGATTTAATTTGAATTTAGATCAGTCATCCAGTTCTTTCCTCATAGTTTTAGCTTCTTAACTTTTATTTCTTATTATTTTTGTCTGGTGCCAGTGGTAGAGAGAAAGGTAAAGTTAGCTTAAAATAATAAATTTATTTAATAATTTTTCTGTGCGGAACAATTTAAATAAGTAGAAACTTTAAAATCAATTATTGAGTCAGTAGATTAATTTTTTATATCAAATTTTGTATTATATAGTTTCAGTTTATCTTTTTAGACGTTTGACTTCTCTAGCATTATAGCTTTGACTTATTAGTCTCAAACATGATTAAGAAAAAATATTTTTTCTTTTTTACAGTTTTGTTGCAATTTTGTATCTTGGAATTCTGTTGGAACTGCAGTTGCAGCAGCATATCCTTTACTATGATAACAATTTTTATTTTCTAGATATTTCTCCTCATTTTATATATATCATTTTAGGTCAAAAAACTTCTAGTGTGATTAAAATTTCTGTTTCTTTAGATTCAAATTAATACATTAGCTTAATACTATAATTTGGTACTCTTTTGTTATTTGGACCGGATTCAGAGATGTATATATGTATGGGTATATGTATGGATGTTTGTACTCATGTGTGTACATATGTATGCATATTTGTACATAAATATGCGTATATGTGTATATGTTACGGTGAAACATCGAAATCTGAAGAATGTCGACTTTCACCGGTGAATGTCAACATTCACATAGTCTCTTGGTGTATGTCCGAAATATTTTCCAAATACTCTTATTTCTGACTTACACTGGTCAATGTCAAATTCACCATGTACTAATGGTGTATGTTGAACATTTAAGAATATTATATTTTCTTCTCCGTAATTCAGTCACGAAAAAACGCACTTGAGACTTAAAATAAGAACTTAAGAATATAAGAACTTAAAACACACAATACATTCAAAATAAGAATGGAAAATAATAGAAGTTAAAAACTTAACTTAATTATACAGTACATTCTAAATGAGAAAATAAAATGATAGTTATAAAATACTTACTAAATTATGTGATTCAAATCTTATTTATTGCAACAACTTAAACTATTATGACCCTTTATGACCTCTCTTTCCGACCTATACCAGAGCATATCTGTGATTGTCGACATACACAGGTGAGGGTCCGATGTACAAGAATGTAATGCAATATTCCATCTTTCACCGACGTATTTAGTGAATGTTGACATTCTCCAATTTCGGTCTTTCATATACATGCGTACATGCATGCATATGTCAAATAATACAGTTCACAGTTATCTGGTTCCGATAACAGAAGAGTACCTATAATTTTAACATATATATAAAATCTCATGTAGTTATGACAAATATATATTTTTAAAGAGGGTAAAGTAAGTGTGGAAAAGTGTAATATTCATAAATTATGCAATAAGAATAAGAAAATAACAAATACTTTATTAGTAGTTGGTAAGATTTATTTCATTATGTATTTGAAGATATTATTTTTGACAAGTTTTTTCTCTTTCTTTTTTTGAAGATTATAAATTACGCTGTAGAGTGCAATATAGTTTAGGCAGATTTTTTTTTTTTTTTAATTTAGAAATTAAAACTTCTGATTGGTAGTGTCAAATTCATAGTTGTGATAATGGTTAAGATAATGTTTACCATATTTTTGTTGATTGCATTTGTTATATTCAGCAGAGATAGCTCATCAGCCTTTTAATTCTGAACTTGAAAGGCTCTGTTTTCTAGCAATTTGTTTGCACTTTATTTTTTTGTTTGTTTTTAAAGCTTTTAATTATTAAAACAGAAAATAGTTTGAAGGGGGAAGGGTAATGGTACTTAATGTTTATTTGCTATGCTAGTGTCCTAATTGCTTCTTAAGACTTAAAGTTTATTTATGGAACACAAAGAAGTAAAGTTAATGTTTAAAAAAAATCTCTACAGCATGTCACAAAATGAGATTAAAATAACCCATACAATAAGATTTTGGAACAAAACTAAGCTCTAAAAGTTCAAGCGAGCAGGGGTGTCTTCAAGCTTATTTGTTGTTTTGTTAATGTGAAGCGGATTTAGAGAAAATTATTAGTCATTTAATTAAAAGTATAGTCATTTATTAAAAGTGTTACAAAGCAAACTTCATATAGTCAGAATAGTTAGACCTTATTTATTGAGGGATTGTGCTATTTTTTCTCTTTTATTTATTTCCTAAAACTATGGATTTTTATTTTTTGTAACTCACTCACTCTGTTTTTGGAAACCTTTTTATGTTTTGATTACAATTGATTTAAAATTTTTAATATTAATTGCTGTTCTTGTAAATTTAATTCAGGAAAAGGGATACTTGAATAGTTGAGCAGGTATTTATACAATTCTACTTGTATAAAGATATAGTATTGTCTATTAAATAAAGGTATAGTGGTCTGAATATAAAACAGTATTTCCTCCTTAAACTGTCTGTCTGTAACATTACACCTGCCACACATACAACCTAAGATCTGATAAATTATTAAAAAAATAATAAGTATTTTATGATTTATCCATTAAATTTTATATTAGTTGGTATATTAATGTAGTTTTGCTTCAGTAGGTGTTTGGACAATTTAATTTATCTTTCTTTTAGCATATTTTTAACATATCACTGCTCACATGTATGATATTGTCTTCATAGCTCATAAATGCATGGCTGTCTAATATGTGAAGCTATCTTATGTTCAGGCCAGTATTTTATTATTATTTTATTAGACAGAATCTGATACTTTATTTAGTTGTTAATGTTTAGCTGCCTGAGCAGGTTTGATGCATGATCTGTGACATATTAAAATCAATTTTTTAAAAGGAAATTGAGTTTTTCTACGGAATAATCATTTTAGTGATAAAAAATTATATTCTATATAAATACAATACTGCTAATTTTACCAACATTTAAAATTTAATACATACTAGAGGTTATGAATTTGGAATCTGTTATATTTTTGAAGTGCACTTCATTTTTCCTGTTTTTCCTTAAATATTTTTACATATGGTAGCAGAAGTCATAAAAGCTGGTGTGACCATGATTCATCTGTAGGTGTGTGGAGCCTTAATCGTAAAGATTTTGATTCGAAGAAGCCTAATGCAATTCTTGAAACAGACTGCTGTATTACGCATGTGACTTTCCACCCTGATTTACCGGCTATACTTCTAGCTGGAAAATTCAATGGTTAATGTTACTTTGTATTCTTGATTTTCAAATTTTCAAATATTCTTTTTTATTTTGTGAAAAAATTGTAATGATTATTTTATTTTCTTGTGAAAGGCAAGTAGTGCTATTTGGAGTTATGTACGGTATTGAATGCAAATGTTGAACATGAAGAATTATTCTATCTTTATTCATATTTTAAATTAGAATACTTTTCAAAATGAAGGAGCAAATGAGTGCAGAGTTAAGAAAACAGGCAATTTTTGCCATGAATGTGGTTGCTTCCTTGTCTTTTTGACTCCAAGATTATAATAATGGTAACAAGATTATTGTCAAGTTCATGTTTACTTCTAACATACACTTGCTGGCTGCCATATTTCCATGGCTGTTTTTAATATGGTAGCAAAGTCATTTACTCATCATGAGGACTTTTGTTACATGAATTCCACAAGATCGGCTCAAAGGTGACAAGCTATGTCTCATTGCTTTTTATTTTGCTATTTAGCAAACTTTTCCAATCTTCCAACATTTTGTGTATGAGCAACTGTTTTCAGATCCACAAAATTTATGCTCACTGTAAAGTGAGTGTGCCTTGCTTTTTCCAATTCTTCTCTTTTGTTTACTCCCTAACAATATAAACAAGCCATCAATCTGTCTTGTGTGTGATCCTTAATTTTTGTCATGAATGAGCTTCTGTATTCAGAACTTGAACAAGAGAGAACTCACCAGTTTCTTGGCATAACATGCTAAATATGCATTGTTTTGGAAAAACCCTTTGAATGTTGTTTTTTTTTTGGCTGAATGAACAGCTTTTTATCTATTTCCGCAATTTTTTCAGGGCTATCTGTTTGCATATTTCATTTTCAGATTAAATGCAGAGAATGTATTTCTCATAAAACTTCTCATTTAATAATCATATTTTTACGGAGTTGTTTTTCATGCCATGTTGATATCAGTTCTTCTGACTAACAGCTAAGAAATCACAGTGCTGTTACACATAGTATTCGGGAGCCATCGAACCAACTGTCAATCTATGCTTTTCTGTCGTTCGGAAACATTACATGTTTCATCTCTAAATGCTTTTATTGATATATAGTTTTATTTTGTGGCCATTTTTACGTATTTGAATGTGAAGTAAAATGCCTCTTTCTTAAAAGAATAATATAGCACCTTCTTCAGGCATCTATGAATAAAAATTGTTAATTTTTTTTTTAAAAAAAGAAAAGTACCTTAACATCCAGCCTTCTTTCTACACTTTTCTTCTTCTTTTGTTAGTGAATAAAAAATTGCTACATATTTTTTAAAAAAGAAAATATATTAGCACATGGTTTACTCTCATCTTTTCTTATGACGAGTGAACTCGTTAAATGATCGTATAAGGTATTTTCTGCCTCCTTTCAGCATGTCTTCATGATGTAATGATAGCACACTCAGCGTGTACTCGGAGGTCCAGGTTTGAGTCCTGGCAAGGATACTGCACATTTTCCACGTCGCTTCCCCCAAATCCTAATGTCTCTACAGTGGCGCTCAAACTAAAAGGTGATGGATAATGATTCTTCAACACCAGAATTTGGCAGTTGGGTCCCCTAATTCCCAGTCACCCTTTAAAAGGGGGGTGTATAAGGTATTTTCTTCCTCCTTTCAGCATGCCTTCGTGATGTAACGATAGCACACTCGGGGCGTATTTGAGAGATCCATCTTTGTATCGTTTTCCACATCTCCTGCTTCTAAAAAATCCTAATGTCTCTACAATCTTTGCTGAGACTGCTGTTGATGATTCATCTCAATTCTTAGCAGTACTTGAAAAACAGGCTATAAAAATAAGAAACATTTTCTCAAAGTATAGTGACAAAGATGATGATGATTCATATGATTTCTAAAATAGAAAAACCTGGAAGGAGCAAAAATTATTTATAGAACTAATTACATCTCTAAATATTAGCTTAAACAAAAATGTTGTGAAGTTATCATAATTTGCTGTTAAAATTTAGTTAATTACTCTTTCTAATGCAGCTGCAATTCAGAAGCATTTTACATATTATATATTTTCCTGATATAAAACTAAATTAGATTTAAATAGATTTTCAAAACAATATATGAGTAAAATTTTAAGTTAAAGATGATTACTTATAATGTCTGAGAGGACTACTGATATTGTGAAGGAAAAAATCAGATAAAGACTTCTTCAGCAGAGAAAAAATCCTGTAGTATATTCAGAAAAGTTAAATCCAGGCTATTTCTAACCCCAGATATTTGAAAACGTAAAATAACTTCAGATTATCTTGATAATCTTTAACTTGTCTCATAACTGATAAATTTTAGCAAAATTACACCACCTGTGCTGAATAGTTCAGTTATGTCTGTACTATAAATAAGAGCCAGTTCTCTTAAAAAATGTCTTTCATAAAATGTTTTTCTTAAAAACAATCTTCATATTTTTTTCATACTTATCATAGCATTTAGTTATATCCAGAAAGTTTTATTTTGTGGTAGTTTACCTATCTATATATTAACATAAAGAAGAAAAGAAAGCTTATTCATGTCTGCTAAAAAAAGTAACGTCTAAGAAGACACTCAAAAATTTCTCCGTGAAATTGACATTTTCCCATTAGTTTAAATGAATGAAAACTTTTCATTCTGTTATCAGTTATCCTATTCAAATAGTGCAATATATTATTGTGCAAATAATGTAGAAATGTTAAATCTAAAAATTCTTGATTAAATTAATTAAATCTACAATTTTTATTTTTTGAAGGTTGCCATAGCATTTATGTAGTTTTTTTCCAAATTAATTTTAAATGTTGTCAAATTTCATCAAAGTGCTTACACTGGCTGCTTTATCAAAGAAGTACCAAAAAATTGTGTTACATAATACATTTTACATATAGAAAAAATAAATGACATAATCTGCAACATAATTTAAAATTGTTGAAGGAATTTTCTTTTGTAAATTTTTGGCAAATTAGAATTCATTTTGTTACTTTATTTAAGAAATAACTTCTGCATTAATAACTCTTTTTAAGCTAAAAAAAAGTTTTTAATATTAATTGTAAAATATGTTATTACATATGGCTGAAAATATAATTGTATATATTAATTGCAAAATATAATTATATATAAATAGGAGAGATAGTATTGTGGAATATTTCGAAAGAAGATGATCCTCTGTTAGGAAGTTCACAAAATGCCCTTGGTAGCCATCGTGAGCCCATTACAGGATTGTTTTGGATACACAGTTTTAAAGCACAGGATAGTTTAGAGGTAATATATCTCTTGGATACTGATTATACACTGTGTTAATACTGTATGATTTTTTCTATTGTGAGCACTAAATATATTAAAAAAGTTACAATTATTAATAGTTTTCTGGATTTTTTAAAAGTTATTTCCATTATTTAAGTCATAACTGTGCCTTCAATTTTATGAAAAGTTAAAATGCATTTTCCATCCATATACCCAGTGTGGATCATAAGTGATAATTGTTAAGCACGTTGCTATGTATCTTCTATAATGTAGCAGCTGTCCCTTTTTTTGTGAGAACAAAATTCTTTTCAATATTTGCGTATTATAATATGATCATTTTATGAAGAACATCAATTAGCCTTCATCATAAAAAACACATAGTTTAGTATGCTATTTGGTATGTCTCATTACTGAGTATTATAGAAAAGGATATATGTAAAAGTAATTAATGATAGAAATGTAAACACCCAGGCTAATTTCTTGCTTTATTCAACTAATGGATAGTCAGCATTTTGATATGGCTGCATCCATTACTTTCAAAATATTTCTGTAAGTAGAAAGGCTGATCAGTATTCTGATTTATGCCCAAATTTAAGGATTCTGTGATTTTAAAGTTTTGCATATATAACATATATAATGTTTTTATGATACATTTAAGAGTTTTTTAGATAATGATTTCAGATGATAAGAGATACAAAAAGAATTATTTACCATCATTTTATTAAATCAACAATATTTGTCTAGCTTATGGTTACTGTAATTTTTCAGAAACTATGTAAAAACAAATATAACCAACCAGTGGCCAAACAAATAAGTTCATTTTCATAGTTTGATCTTGGTTCAGGTTCCAGAGATCAGGTTGGCTGCATTAAGCATTTTCATAATGTTTCCCTTGTGTAACATGAACCAGTTTCTTTTAAGTTCTTCATGACAGCATCCCTTGCCGTTGACCAATAGTTCTTGCATTTGTCTAAACAGTAACAAAAAAAAAAAAAAAAAAAAAATCAAATATTCTGCAAAAAGATGTTTAGAATATAATGAATGCAGTAAGATATTTGAAAATTATATATTACAAAATTTTCTAAATATTCCTTTTGCTAGTAAATAAAGTGAATAAATTTTTTAATAATTGTGGATTTAAATTTATGAAAAATTTTAAAAACTTAATATAGCATTCAATATCTGATTAATCATCCAATAGAACAATTCTGCTGAGTGTCAAGTAATAATTTATATTGCTTCTAAATTACATATACTATAACACTCCATTTTTATTATTATTAGATTTGCATAATGGTATTTGAGGTGAAAAAATTAAAGATATTATTTAATAAAATCTTGACAATTTTAATTCACATACTTTGCTGTAGGTCAGTTGCAATCAACTTCTGTTATCTCCTCAAGGCCAATTTAAGTTGGATCTTGGGCTTGCAGAATATGCTATGTTTAACCAATATTTAGAAATATATCTTGGAATAATAAACACTAGTTATTTTAAGAGTCTTATGATAGTAATTTTAAATAATCTTTGTATTAAACTAGTCTTCAGATAGATAGAAGTAGGATACTACCGAAGACTTGATCAACAATGATGAATTTTGTTAATTAAGCTGTGAGATTCAGAAAAGATATGCATTTAACAAAAAAGATCTGCATCAGGCTGCATGCAGTTTATAGGTTATTAGTTGGCCATTACTGCTATAGGTGCTTGAATTCTGGATAGCAAGAATTCTCACTATTTACAATTGCAGTTTATAGGTTATTATTTGGCCATTACTGCTATAGGTGCTTGAATTCTGGATAGCAAGAATTCTCACTATTTACAATTGAAATGGTCACTAAGCTATACAACTGCTGAACTTTGCATTTCATAAAACTAGAATGTTCTGAAAATATATGCAATCATATCGAAAGAATATGCCATGGCATTAGTACATAGACTTTACTAGCCAAAGAACTATACTACAGGGAAATTAAGAATTAATGTTGTATAATATGTGATTGTATTTCTGATATTTCTGGTTGTAAAGATCTATGCCTGTTAAAATAATCAAATTATTTTACAACTGAATTTTTAATGAGTTTTAAAATAATCAAATTATTTTACAACTGAATTTTTAATAAGTTTAAAAATGCTGAGCTGATCCAGAAAGTATGTGCAAGGTATTTGCTGATCCAGCAAATACCTCGCACATACCTCTTGTGCATCTAACAGCATAAAGGTCACACATGCTTAATTACATTATTCAACTTGAGAATGAATTAGTCTAGCTATTTTGTTTGTTTACCTTAATGTTTGAAGTCATTGTTTGTCCATAGTCATCTCTAAAGCAATCGGCCCATCAACTGTGAAATAACAGCAATTATCAAGTTTTTGAATGCAAGAAATGTTTGAAAAGAAGAGTTTTCTTAAAAAAAAAAAAAAAAAAAAAAGTCTTTGATGATAATATTAGCAGCCCTTTGAAATATAAACAACAATTTATTTAAGAAATTGACTATGCGATGCAATATCTTTGGGCATAAAACATCTTCAGAATCATTTATATTCATTGCCTTTGCTTCACAATGAAAAGAAGATAAAAATCATATATTCTAGAAAATTGTGCCTCTGTTAAATATTCTGTATTAGAAGACAGCATGTTTTATTCATAATATTTTTGGCATATTGAATATATATATATATATATATATATATATGATGCACAATTTTGAAAAGCAGCAGATAAATTTTGTTGCATAAAATGAAGTTAAATAAAATAGCAGATGATAAAATTGTGAAGGTAAAAAAATTTACTCGCATAACCAAAAAAAGAAATTTTTAAATTTTTAATTAATATTCTTCATAAATTTACAAAATAGCATTTCATATATATATTATTAATAAATATTTGTAAGGCATTTTTAATAAAATTGAAAATAAAGAAATTGCATAATAATAATCCTCAATAAAAGTTTATTTGGAAATTTTAGGTTCAGTTGTAATTCACTGAGGATGGTAACTAAACGCGCAGAACACATTTGGCTTTATTGTTGATTGTAACAAATATACAAATTTCAAAATGCTTTAATATATAAATTCGCATATATCTTCAGAAACTTTGCAGGTATGCCTAGAAAAACATCTTCTTTAAGAAGATGATAAACATTTTCTAGGTTATAATTCATTTTTTTTCCAAAAAATTTATGCAAATAATTTAAAAATAAAAATTTTTAATCAGAAAAAAATGTGTGAATTTTATTTGGATTACCTGAACTTCGAATTATGAAAGAAGAAATTAAGTAAGTTTAATTTAAAAGTAGCTATTAATAAATATATGCAAATATATTCAGTTAACATTGCAGAGAAAAACTTTGACTGTTGATTAAAAAATTGCACCTATGATTTTTATAAGATTTGGTATTTAGGTATAATTTGAGTCATAGAATGGAAATATGGAAAAAAGAATTGCATGTCATTTCAGAAAAATTCCGATTTTCTGTTGAAATTTGTGTGTTAGAACAACAGTATATATAGATTTAATATTTATCCTAAGTCGCGCTTTAAAGACATGAAAAATGCAGGCTGAATTTTGTAAATCTGCCAAGTAGAAGGGAATATATGGAACTGTCTCTCTCTGTCTCTTTTTTTTTTCACCATTAGATGACACTTTATTATTAATATTGTGAAGATGTGTGCATCTGAATTTTTTAAAAGCAATATATGCAATTCAAGGTTCATGTTAAACTGCTACACCATTTGTAGTATTACTATATCCTGACAAATGCTATATAATCTTAATATTTTTCATTCTATCCTTATAGTGTAATTATAGCAAAATCATTTATCAGTAAAAATTTGAACTGAAATTTATCCTTACAAAAAATAAGATAAATGTCTGTATGCAAACTACACTTTGGTATGCTATTTTGTTGATTTTTTTTGAAAAAATGCACAAATTTATAAGATGCTTTATATTTAACATATATGTAACATATATTTGCATTATTATTATTATTTTAGTTTGTAAGCTGTAGTTTGGATGGTAAAATATTACTATGGAAACTTGAAAATGGTGAATTAGTACCTTATGATGGGTATGTATATAATTTTAACTTTTTGCTACTAGTTTTATGTAAAACATTTATGTATGGTTGATTTTTAGGAAACTTTGATGTCATCCTCAGTAATTTGAATAGTGGTTTTTTAACTTTTTTAAGGCAATCTTTGTATTTTACACAATTTATAATTAACTTTAATATTCTTTACATGAACTACTCTTTCTGAATAATTAATAATACAAGCAGATTACTATTTTTGATAACTGAGAATTAATAATACAAGCAGATTACTATTTTTGATAACTGAGAATTAATGCAGTTTATAGTTTGGATATTATTAATCTATATGGCTTGGGGTTTTGTATTGAAATTTTCAAGAAAAGCCATGAGTTAAATGGCATTTTCTTCACTGCAATTCCCAAATGGTACTCCAGCTTTATACTTTGTTTCTTTTTCTTCCAATATTCATGTTAAAATGAAATATTTGGATACATCTCAAGATGTGTGTCTGTACTTTTAAAAATGTGTCATAACAAATATTTTTGAATGTATTATATATGGCTTGGCTAATTAAAAGGTTAATGTATATATATATATATGTAATAATAAAATTCCATAGTCAAGAATACACTTAAATTTCTAACTGCATGTTCTATTCATTTTTTAATGGCGACGGTCTCTTATTTGAAAGTACGTGGAATTAAATCTACAGCCCCGTAGTCAAGTTGTTTTTCCCGCCTTTTCTACACGTACAGTTTTAGAATGTTCTCGAGATATTTAAAGCGAACTAGAATGGCTGACGTCATTTCTTGGAAGCTCCACCTTTCCAGAGGCTATAAAAAAACTCGCGAAGGAATATCGGGGGCTTTTCTTAAATGTCACGATGCAGTAAACTTCATACAAAAAGTTATTAGTAATTCTTTTATATTTACTCCAGATATCTGATTTTGTAACTGCTATTTCTCCTGAATAATAATAAATGGATCCTGTTTTTTAAACTTAAACTTAATCGTCTGATAATTTAAGCTACGACTACATTTATGATTCTTCACCGATCTATTTATTCCGGACAAAACCTGGTACATCACATATGTATATATTATTTTTTTTTTTTAACCCAAAGGGGTGTTAGACCCAAAGGGCTATTATTCTCAAAATTGCATTTTGTGTCTTTTCACTTTCTGCGTTGGTTCACTTTTCAAACTGTTGCCACCAGATATTATCGCCATGTATTATATTTAAAGAAACTAAACAATGGAGAAGCTGCATGATTGCATGAATGTTTCTCGCATTGTGAAAAAGCAACGGTACTAGAGGCATCAAACTTTGAATAACGTTGTCATGCAACAGAACATGGGCACTTGGAAGCCTGAATTTTGAATTTGTTTTATTATCTGTTTCAATTTTTTAAAACTTTGACGAATTTTTTATTAACAAACTCAACCATTTCGATTTCAAAGCGAGCAGTATAAACACTATAAGGAAAAAAAATTTTTTATCTCCAGCACGCGATACTGTGTATCGGATATTCTAAAGATATACTGTTTTTAAATATTTTGTGACATTGCTGTTGAATTGAATTTTATGTGGTTTAAGGGCAAAAAACATTATATTTAATAAATAAAGGTAACACACAAAACGATGAAAATATTTCCTGCAGGGTGTAATATAAAATCTGAAAGCTTTTAGATTTTCTTTTTTTTTCCTTTTTCTCAAATTTGGGTGCTATGAATTTAAGCATTGGATACACTGGGTAAAGCTGCACAAACTTTTGTTATAATTTATAAATCTATATTATGATATACTTTATTTATAAATTGCTGCTTTATTTTAACTAATTACTATCATTAAAATATATAGAAATGACAGATATATTGCTTTATTGTACTTGTCATCTAATACAATTTTTGTAATTATATTTTCAGTGACTACCATCTTTTATTTTGATTTTAATTTGAATTTTGTTGATAAAATTTGAATTGATTGTGCCATAATTTCGATTTTAGTTTTATCATTTTGATAGAACAATTGCCTCGTTCATTTTCTGTAAAAACAAGCAAAGAAAATTCTGAAGTTGGTGGTAAGTAAAACGGCTCATTTTATAATTATTTTCATGTAATAATTTTATTTTAAAATGGCATGCTTTTAATAATTTAATATTTTTCAGTTACTTCATTATCAATTAATTGTGAAGATCAGTCTATTTTTATTATTGGAATAGAAGGAGGTGGTATCTTTCAGTGTTCTTTCAACTCACTAGTTCCAGCATCATGTAAGATAAAATGTGTAATTTTTAAAAATTAAATAAATTTTTTATTATTATAATACTATAATCTTAAAATTTTATGGACTTGATGTAGTAGAATATTTAACACAAATGCCGCATAATTTTGCAGCTTTAAGACACATAAATCATTTAAAAATTCCGGTTATTCATTAACGATGCTTGGCTAAAACAAATTTTTATCATAGTACATATAAAAGCATTTTGTCGTTAGTTTATTTTCCTGTCAACAATGCACTTAATGAATAATAATGATAATAATTAAAAGGGAAAGGTATACATTAATTTGTATGCAAAATTTTGATAACTCTAAGCAATTAAATTCCTTTAAAAAGTTTCAGGGGAGAAATTATGATACAATTCTATTCCTAATTTAACTATTTTGCATAAAAAGTTAATCTCACATTCATTACCCCATTTAAGAAACTACTCATATTGCATTTAAATTCCTATTTTTCAATCTAAAACGATTATAATTATTCATATATAAGTTTTATTTCTGATATATTAGATCATAATTTGCCTGTTAATAATATTGTTTTATTAATAATAGTTTTTTATTTTAAGAAAATTGTTTGCTGTTTTTTATGAGATTGTATATACAATTTTAGCAGGGAACCAGATTAAAGTTTTACATCTATCAAATAAGTTTACTCGGCAAACTGACATAATTTCATATATTAGGAAATGTTTGTTTTTGTAACCTAATAAAATTGAAAATCTGCTATTTTTAAGAAGCTTCATCATTTCTAACAAACTTTCTGAGTGCACCTAAGTATAAAAAGTTATACAATTATTCAGAATATGTTTAATGGAAAGAAGCACTTAGTTTATTGGAAAAACACTGCGTAGAGTTAAACGCGACAAAATGTAAGTGGGATAATCATTGTTAATACAGACGAGTGACTGTATCCACTTATCTGCTAAAAGGTACTGTCATCTTTTGAAATAATGTATCATTGGATTTATTTACAGGAAAAAGTAACGCAGCATAAATGATGTACATATTTTTTTAAGGATAGGATAATTTTTTTCATCTAGGAACAATGCTTAGTATTGAAAAATTCTATTGTTTGTAAACAAGTGTATCATAGCTGACAGAAGGCATATTTTTATAAACTAATATTCTGAATTTTTCCACTAAATTTCATATATGGCTTTCAGAATATTTTAAAGCATTATTAAATTTGTAAATAAAAGATTTTGAAAGCACTAATATACTTCAGCAGAATAGAAAGGCAAAAGTATTATTTGAAAACATAATCATAGATGCTACACTTTCTGATTATTTTTTAAGGATGAGAAAATATAGGAATTATTAATAACTGTTTCTACAAAACTAGATTTGAAGACAATAATATAGAAAAGATGCATACAAAGTGAGGAAGTATACAAGCAAAGAGTAAAGGATATTTGCTTTATATGCTTGCCGAGAAGAGAGAGCTGATGAAAATTAGAATATTTTGATTTTGTAAAGTTTTCAAGAATATATTAATATGTACATAAAATAAAGAAATTATAAATAATTTAAAATTTTTGTCTTGTATCTAAAAATGTTCATGCTGTAATTTTTAGTGAGAAATAATGACCAAATAATTTTTTGTAAATGCATTTTATTTAGCAAAATTATCTCCTTCAGCTTCAATTACATATTCTCAACGAATTACAAGCTTAGTAATTCTGCATTTGAAAAAGCTTTTGTCTGTACACCCAAAGAATTGCCCTGTGGCCTGCATGACATTCCGGTTTTGGAACTGTTGCTGCCCAATTTGAACTCTTAAAGTAAGCGGATCTGTAAATCATCCTTCTACACTGGTATGCTGGCTTCAGAATTGTAGTTCCTACAAAACTGCTTTCGACACAACCAACAAAACTTACAACTCTGTGCTGATTGATGGATGAGAGCATCTGAAGTCACCCTGACAGGCTTTTCGACACATTCTGTTTGAATTTCACTTTTCATTTTTTTGGATACCTGATATGTGCATTGTAATTCAGAGTGTACAATTATTACAAAGCACTACTGTACATGCCAAGAAAGCTAAATAACTTTATTAATGAAAAAAATTTCCTTTTCCAACAAAATTATGTTATTAATCAAAATATTTATTTGCATATACTTATAATAAATGTTGCTGATAGGTTTGCTGCCATATTAAATTTTTGGTTTGTTTATTTACTTCCAAAAACATGCATAAATTACAGACATTCATGGATTATCAGAATTCTGTATTAAAAATATCAGTTTTACATACAGCTGCATAAAAATAGTAAAAGAAATATACTATTCTTAGTGTATAGACTAGATACTTTTTAAATATCCAGCCATACTACTAAATTAGGAACATAATCACAAACTACAGCACTGAGGAGAGATCAGAGCCAATGACAGAGTTGATTACAAAGAATCAGCAGAAGTTCAGCATTCCATTGTGCTAACTGTTCATATTACAGTACCAAATGTCATCATTCAGCTGCAAGAGAGTTTTAATTTCGAAATAAAAAACACTTGGTATTTCTTCTAAACTCAAAAAGGGGAGGGACAGGAAAGCTGTTTAAACACTGTCCTTTTCAGAAAATGATGGCAAGTGGTAACCCTAATTGTCAGTACCATACCAAAAGTATGAATATGAATTTTCTATTTTTCAATTTACATGTACTTTCAAAGATTTCCTTTTGGATGCTTTACATTGTATTAATAGAATAGGATGCACATAAAATAATTATTATTAGAAGCCAGTAGCATAATTTTTTTTAAACAAAACATGGCAAACCTTTAAAAAAAGATTTGGCAGAATAGTTGGGTGTGGTGACAGTGTATTAAAACATATTAAAAAATTTTTTCATTTTAAATAGTTCAAAATTCTTGTTTAAAGTATGTTACTTATGTTTAAAAATTGATTGTTGATAATTAATGCATCAAAATAAATTACACCAGAAACGTTAATTTATGCTTTCCTCATCATATATAATTCATTTCTTTTTTGTTAGATTCTGGATATAGTTCCGTTTCTTTGAAAAATCCTATAACTATGAGTTTCGAGCCTCACAAAGGACAAGTAACTTCAGTTCACTTCTCACCATTTTCTAGAAATATATTTCTCTCTGCAGGAAGTGATGGAGAGCTTCGGATATATAATTTATTGAAGGTATATTTCTTAAGGTATTTAAATACATATTTTAAGTTGGAATTCATACATAAGAATTACTTTCTCAAAGTATTTTATGATTACACAGAGATAGTTGCACACTCAGCAAAATAAAATACTGAATAAATAGCAACTGTTATAGGATGACCAGCTGATTGACAAAATGAGCAGCCTAAAGCCTAGAGAGTTGAGTGTTGGGAGGTGACTAAAAGTCAGAAGAAAGAGGTTCTTTTAACTCGCTGGCCTCTCTTAAGATATGCATAATAACCTATAGAAAGCTAAGGATGAGTCTAATTGCTCAAACTGCAATGTTGAGTCTAATTGCTCAAACTGCAATGTAATTTTGTTAGTTCAGCATATTTTAATTTGTAGGTCCATATTTTGAGAGACTTCATCAGAAATTGCTGTTATGTAAATCGTGGCTATGATAAGGAAAGACATCAGTTTAAACCCATTCCAATATTTGAGAAAGACTTGGTTTTTATTACTTTATCAGAATTGGTTTTAAATTCATTTCATTAGATATATGGCATATTTTAAAGTTTTTTTTTTTAGATATTAGTTTTTATACTTATTATTATACGCCAGGAGGTGTCATTTGATTTTATACTTTAATTCAGCTTCTGTGTTTCGTTCATTTTTATATGTTGTCATCAAAATGCCATTTTAGTAAGTTTTTATATTGCACTGTACAGTGTAAGGTTGCATAAGTCGTACCCAAGAAAAAATAGGTGTAAATTGTAGGATCTATTAAAAAATTAAAATTATGTATGGTAATAATATCTTGTGTTATCATTGCTGATATTTAATGCAATAAAATTCCATACAGTCTACACTCTTGGATAAAATTAATAATATTTATGAACATGAACTTAATACGACTTACAAAATCAGTATCCTAAGTCATGCCACCTATAGCTGAAGTCATTTAAAACTGGACTTGCATATAAAATTGGACAATTATAATAAAACTTTCTCAATTAATTCATTTATATAATTAATTACAATAATGATCACAGATATGTTTTTTCATTTTCTTTCAACTTCAGTACATAAATCATGTGCCCATCCTTTGCATTTTAGGCACTGAGTCATATTCTCTTCATCGTCTTACTCGTAAATATTACAGAGAGACAAACATGATGTAAAACAATGATTGACTAAGGTGTAACTCATTTTGCTGGAAGAGGCGCAGTTGGTGTAATATTATGTCTAATATTTAAAAGGTGTGATTTAAGCAATGGTACAACTTCCGCAACCTTATCCTACCTACACAGTATGAAATACATTCATCATTTTTTAGTGCATTATAACTTCTACTACAAGTCATGTGCTATAATTTCTATTACACTGAACTATAAAATATATTATGCTTTATTAATAATATTTAGAATTATTAATAAAGAAATAAACAAAATACTAAAGCACAAAGTATTTAAAAAATCCTTCTTAATAATTGCAGAAAGATTTGTTACATATAGTTTAACTCGGTTATTTAGAGACAAGAAATATATCATTTTACCATCAAAACTGAAATCTAAGTCTCAACTGAGGAATTAGGTAACTTATAATGAATTAATGAAACTTAAAATCGTGCAAATTTTATTCCCCCATCCTTAGTGGTATTCAACATATTTTTCCTGTTACATTTTATTTGATCAGATTTGTCATAATGACATCACTGACATTAGTAAAGCTTAATATGAAGATTCAACCAAATGATTAGCCATTAAATCTTTGTATTTAATTTTGCTTTACATCAATATGCAGAATTATCAGGCCCATTTTGGTGCAGGAAACATGCAAAATTAGAATTTTATTTTGCATGTTTCCTGAGATGCAAATAATTTTATTTTTGTCATATTTAAAAGTATTTTGATAAATAAAAGTATAAGTAAATTACAATATGAAATTAATCAAAGAACATAAAATTTAGAATATGTAATTAAATTTTAATATATTTTGTCAGAATCATGTTATAAATAGTTGAATAAACTGAACCATGTGGTATAAAGCAAATTTAAAGCAATTTTGAGTTCTTTTAAAATGGTGCTGTTGTGCAGGATGAAAATTGCACTAATTATTTGGAATTTTACATCAATGTCATTCTTCATAACTTTCAGCAGTATACTGTACTGTTTATGCAAAAATTTAATGTTCAAGAAATATTCTGTTATAAACTACTGAAATATGAACTGTACAAAATAATCTGTGAAACAATTTTGTTAGAGAGACATAGGACATTGAAAAGTTGTATATTACACCTAGAAAGAGATATACTGATTTGAAAAAAAGATTGCTTGAGTTATAATAACTACAGAAGTCTATATTTCAAAGTATCTGAGCTTTTAATTTATGATAAGAGGAATTTGTATAGATTTATGAAACAGAATTTATTTTTAACCTTTTGCATTTCAAAGACTTTTCAGTATGACATTTGAGTAATACTAAGATAATTTTAAGTACTTTCCGATTATCAACATGTTTTGCCACGTTTCATTGGAAGTGAACGAACAGAAAAATACTTTTGTGGTGTCTTTTTGTGAGAACTGCAAATTCTGTTTCAGGAAAAAGTATGAAATGCTTATTTAAATTTAAATATGTCCTGGGAAAGTGCCTAAAAGCTTATTTTTTTAAATTTATTTCCTGTTGCAAGAAATGCAATATGAATTAAAATCTTTGTCCTTTTGATATAGTTTTATAGAAAAATTCCTTCATAAGCACTTTTGTGAAATTAAGACTAAATTTAAAGAAATGGAAAAATTATGACAGAAACAATCTTTCCATTTACTAATATCATCTCAAATGCCCTCTTCTGCTTAAAATCCTTTTTATATTTGTTACTTTTCTGCTCGATTACACACTTCGTTTCTAAATACCTATAAATCAAGTACTGTATGTTGAAGAACAAAGTATTATCCATAATGTATTACTTTCACGAGTTTTCCAAGAAAGATAGCAATACCTCTATTTAGACGTCTGACCAGACATAATTGCTTGCGAGACCACTGCTACAGAATTGGAGTGGTGGATTCCCCAAACTGTATTTTGTGTGATGCCAATCAGCCTATGATTTTTGAACATTTAAATAATTGTATTGAACTTTCTAGGTATGAGGACATTGTTAAAAAGTACTGGAGAGCTCGTGAACTAATGGCTTAAATGCTAATGTTTGACATTCATAAAATAAATAAATCCATAATGTATTTCAAAATGTAGTACAGAATCTATCATAACTGATACAATATGTGTGGCCTACATGAAAGAGAAACGTGATGATATAAAGTGTAAAATTGAGCAAAAGGCATAGATTTTATGTTTTGAGCAATTTTACAAATGTAATTTTGAGGGTTACTAACTTAGGTTTGTTTTCTTCAGGAGGAGGAGCAAAATTGAGTGCTCTAAAGAACTAGGTCACTGCAATGCATTCTTCCAGAGCTTGTAAAAAGTACTTTTGTCTTTCGCCTTTTTTTTCTTAAATCTTTGGAGCCAGGTCAGCTGTCATGTTTAATGAGAATTATTTTCTTACAATGTAGGCATTCTGAATATTCATTATGGAGATAAAATTTGATATATGAAAAGGATACCCCCATCCCAAGTTGCTACTCATGTTAGTCGAGCATGTGGCAAAATTTATTTCCCAAATGTTTACATTAAATATAGGCTGTTTTATTTATATTTATTAAGGTTACAGAAGTAAGTTGGAGCCTTAAATAAAATTGCATGTACAAAATACAGCATTTCAACCTCGATAACACTTGTTTGCCTTAATATCAGTTTCTCTGAACATCTATGAAAATAAAATGAAGGAATTTTTTTATACATTTGGTAAAGAAATATGATTTTATATCGGAGAATTGAAAAATTTACTGAAACAAAAAGTCTATTATTTAATAAACAATTAGTCTGGAACCAATAAGTAATAAATTTTAAGTTATCTAGTTTGAAAAAGTTAAACTAAAATTTAGTAATTTTTAATTATATAATACTTCACAAATTTAGCAAATTACTTCATAATTTAGCAATTACTTTAATACAGTTAATTAAAAAATATATACACTCATACTAAAAAATAAGCAACAATCGCTAAAAGAAAAGGTATGAATGTAAAAAGGGGAATCAAAACATGCAATTTACATATGAGGTAAAGGCTGCATCATCGAATGCAAATAGGCAACCAAAATTAGCATAAAATGCAACCTTGCAGTCACACCACAAAATCTTAGAAAGGGGCATGCTGAACCTATATGTCAGTTTGCAAGCAGCGATTGTTTCATGTAATCTGAGATAGCTAAAGCAGAAAACATGAGCCAAAGATGCCATTTGCAAGATGAAGTCCTTTGGAGGGCTGTCAGGATGTTGCAAGACAATCCGCTGTTACGAGAGAGCTGAATGTGCATTGCAGTGTCATCAATAGGCTGTGTCATTGTTATTAAAGAGGATAAAATTCCTGTAGAAGACATGGTTCTAGACACTAGAGGATTACCTCAACAGCAGTTGATCGCTTCCTGCTGCTATGTGCAAGATGGCATAGATAACTAACAGCATGACAACTAGCGTCGCATCTCTGCTGCTGCACAACAGCCCATATCCTGCCAAACTGTGTCCCATCCACTGCATGAAGGTGGACTGTCACCTGATGACCTGTGGTTTGTGTTTCTTTGTCCCCATCACATGTCATAGCATGGTTGAATTGGGCCCATGAACATCGGAGTTGGACACCACAGCAGTGGAGTGCCATGCTTTTTACGGACGAGTCTCAATTTAACATCCAGAACAATTCCCGAAGGTGAGTGATATGGTGAACACCAGGAACGTGCTATCAAGTGCCAAACATTGTCGAAAGAGACCATTACAGAGGAGGAAGCTTAGTTGTATGGGCTGGGAAACGAACGAATGGCCGTACCAACCTCTACATGATTTCTGCTAATTCCATTACAGTTGTCCGATACTGGGACAAAATTCTACACCCTCACTGCTGCAATGGGTACAGACACGATATTTATAGACGATAATGCCCGCTCTTATAGAGGTCAAGTGATGTAGAGTTATCTAGAGAGTGAAACCATTCCACATCTGCTGTAGCCTGCTAGATCACTGTAATGTTCTTGATACATGAGTTTTTGTCTGTCTTTACTTTGTTTTCTATATGGTCTAGTAATGCCACACCAACCTCTTGGATGAACTTCACAAATACCCATTAGATAATTTTTGTTTCATTCTGTGTTTTGCCTTTATTGCTAAGTATGCATTTACTTTTCTTCCATGTATGCATTAAGAGCATAACGGTTATATGTTTTTATTTATTATTTTTATTTTAATTTTCTTCAGGAGTGCCAATATACTGTTAAGATAAGGCAGCATGTTAAATTTTATTTGCTTTCAAGGTAACATATTATTGCTTTCAAGGAGTGTATTTACATAATTTAACTCAAAATTTCACATTAATCTTTTTAAAACCCAAACCTGTCATTATTTCCAGCTTTCCACATCTCAAGATCATAAATATGCTCCTGGAAAATATACACTAATGATTATGAATATTGCAGCACTGTGAAGGAATTATGCAAATTGAACTAAACTTGCAGGTAATATAAAGTGAGGTAAACATGCAAATGAATAGAATTACAAAGTGATTGCACATGCATAGTATGAGAACCTGCCACTTGTTCCATGCATATACAGGACTGTAAAGTTGGGTTGAAATTTGTTTATTGTCCTCTGGCTGCGATGAACGTTTAATTAGTACTCAATATGCCTCATGAACAGCGGAAGGTGTCATACCAACAACTAACGGAGTTTGAACGAGGCTGCATTCTCAATCTGTGAAAAGGTGGACTTTCGTATTGAGCAACTGCAGCCCGCACACTGCGTAATGCCACAACAGTGATGTGCGTTTTGAAGAAATGGACAGAGGAGAACCAAAAAAAGAAAAGTCCTGGCAGTGGGGCATGCAATAGCACAGGACGACAGATACCTCATCTGCATGGCTGTGACGAATCATACAGCGTCTTCTCGCATATTCGCAGAATGTTGGAGCGCAGTTTCAGGTTTATTGTCTAGTTCTATGATTTGTCATTGTCTGCTGCAGCACAAATTGCGTGCGAGAGTTCCTCTATGCAGGATTCCCCTGTCACTGAATCACAGATACTTCCGACTTCAATCGGTACAGTAACACAGTTCATTACGTGCCCTCTGGCAATAAGTTATTTTCTCTGATGAATCTCGCTATAATGTGGAGTATAATGATGGAAGAGTACGCATCAAACATTACAGAGGGAAATGTTTGCTCCCACAGTATGCTAACCAGCATACCACACAAACGACTGGCAATTGGTATGGGGAGTTATTGGTTATAACTGTTGACCCCATCTAGTGCAGATTGCGAGCAACACCAATAGTGATCGCTACAAAAGGGTAGTTGTCGAGCCAGAAGTCCTCCCCATTTTTGATGCATTCCGGGCACTTTATTTTACCAGGATAATGCCCGTGCATATGCTTCTCAGACTGTACAAGCTTTCTTTAGGGCACAATAGGTTTCGCTTTTTCCATGGTCTGCTCATTCCCCGTATATGTCGCCCATTGATCATGTCTGGGATTTCATCGGTCGGCAACCCACTCGTACAGCTGATGGAGCACTCACTGAGATTGAAATGGTGTCAAGTCGAAGCAATATGGAATGTCATTCCCCAGGATAACATTCAAAAGCTATATGATTTAATGGCATGATGTGTACAGGCTGTCATTGCTCAGTGTGGCGGACACTCAAAGTACTGATTTTTGATTTTTTGGTGTGTGTGTGTCTTGAAAATTTGATTGTTTATATGCACCACTATCAGTAATATGTGGAACAAATTTCATTCATTTCCAATAAATCTTTCATGGTGCTGCATTTTTCACAAACATTAGGGTATATTTACAAAATCTGATGTGGGCAGTTCATGACCTTCCACCAATGCCATGTTTTAAATTAGAAATGAGCTTCACGCAAAGTATTTCTTCCGGTTGATCGTTCATAAACAAAATCTAATTTGCTGTTCTAATATACAGAAAAGTCTGTAATGTGAAATTTTGGATTATATTTTACTAGGTATGATTGCCTATGTGTAAAACATTATCAATTGTTTGCTACTGTATGTTTTTTATTAAAATCGTACTTTGTTGAGCATTTGAATTATATAATTTAGTTTCTAATTAAAGAAAATTCAGTGCTTATAATATATTAAAAATAAACATTTTGAAACAAATGCCATAATTTTTCTTATATATTATTTCTCTAGCACTGACAAATTAAAATTTTCTGTATATATATTCCCATGGTATTTAAGTATAAGTTGAAAAAGTAATCAATACTCATTCAACTGTAACAATATATTATGGTTTATATATACAGCAGGTTCTGTTGATTGCTTCAAAACCATTATGGGCTTTGAGTAAAGAACTAGTTCCAACTGGCCATTAAAATTTATTATGGGCTACAAGTACCACTTCCAGTTGTTCAGTTTTACCCAAAATCTAATCAACTCATTACATGAATACAGAAAATGCAATTTCTGGAAGTTTAGGTTATTGTGTATGAAAAAAATCATCACATACATGCATGCAAACATCATTTTAAAAACAGCAAAAACATGTTGTGGAACTCTAATTCATGCTTATTAACAGAGAAAATTTACTATCAAATTTTTGAATGGAAAACATCACCTATGTGATGGGAGGTAATAATGACAATGCATCTACTGATTATTAGTTAAAGTACGTACATTTTATTTGAATACAATTACTGTTTCTGCCACTTTTACTCCTAGATAAGCACATGGTAATGGCTAAAACTGGAACCCCTTTTTTTTTTATTGAAATAAATGCTTTACAAATGCGCCTAATTTTGTTTACAGTTGTCATTTTATTATAATTTTTCTCATGCCTTCTTTATTAAATAGCCAAAGCCTCTTGTCACATTTCAAATCCCAAATGGAAGCATCACTGCTGCCCAGTGGTCACCAGTAAGACCTTCAGTTTTAAGTTGCATATGTAATTGTGGTAAACTGCATATTTGGGATGTGACAGCCAATGAAAAATTATTAACTGAATCCTTCACCTTAACTTCCAGTCAGTCTGGAGGCTTATCATTACAGCACAATAAGGAAAAGTAAGTTTGTACATTTTATATTTTCATTTTTAAAATTATAAATGAGAAAAATATATAGTAAAATTAAAAATGATTTAAATTTCTTACACTTGAACTAAGTTTTCACTAAAAAATGAAAATTATCAGGAAATTTTTTTCTTGGAAAGATTTTTCCTATGTTTGACAATTTAACTACAATTAATATAAAATATGATGTTTAATGTAAAATATGATGACAGGCAGCTGTTCAACTGCAACTAGTAGTGTTTTTCTAGTTAACAGATTTGTGTAATAATAATTAATAATATAATACTGTTCTGTTGGCATAGTCTGGCTTGGGCCTAAATTTGAATCTTGGAGAAGGCAAAGAAGTTTATAAGTGTATAGTGGCTTTGTAGCATGGATCCAATTAAAAGTCTTCTTAAGAGGTTAGTGATAGGGAAGGAGTAGGATACCTTTGGGCCCATCTCCCAAGGAATTTCCTACCAAATTTGGGATAGAACTGGTCAGACTTGTACTCTCTGCTTTATGATGCCCAAGGCCTGAGCCCAGTGATAAGCAAATCCTACTAGTCATGATAAAATTAGATCTAATAAAGCTGTTAATTTCAGATCAGAAACACAATCAATTGAAAGACTAATACAATACAATAAAATGCATCATGTATAAAGGTCTTACAGCAAAATTTGAGCAATATTATAAAACTTTTGATCAGTGAAATGTTTATATATACCTATTATGAGAAAACTTTCTGACTGCTCATTGGTACCAACAGGTTTCAATATTTATGAGAATCATCTCTGAAACAATATTAAATAAATAGTAGTCATAGCAATGTACGTATAATCATGATAACAGTATGTAATTCAACATGATTACATTCATTTTATACATATTAATTGTAATTACTGCCTGATCAATGGGCAAATGGTTAAGATCACTAAATATTTAGTAATTTGACCAGGGTTCAATACCAGGTGAATTGGCTGACTTCATGATTAGTTTTTGTACTTTTCCCCATGCATGGATATTAGCGAGTTTCTCTTATAAAGTCGTCCCTTCCTTCAGGCATATTCAAATAAACTAACTTATTGCAATTATTTGAATATGGAAACAAGAAAAAAAGTTTTGAAGCTGAAAACAGATTACAATGCAACACTTCAAAAAAGAGCTGGTATTAAAAATCTCCCAAGTTTTTTTTTTTTTTTTTAACTAAATAATTAGCTCACTAGTTTAAAAATTAACCTTCAAAAATTCAAGATAAAGGTAAAATTGTATTTTACAAGAAACATGTTTTGATACATCACAAACTGCAATATTCATGATAATGTTTATGTGGTAGTTTTTCTTCGTAAAAGATAACTTGACAGCATACTGGGCAAATGACAAGAAATTGTCTGCATCAAAGCAGTCGAATCAATATCTGCACAATTAAATTTTCTTTTTAGATGATGATTTGGATATATTAGGACTGTTTGTTTAAGTATATAATTACCTAAACGACTGCTACATACAAGCTACCGTGGACACAGGTGTTCACTCCAAATCTATCAATAGAAGCTGTGTGAGAGATATTCCTTTTTCTGCCTACATGAAAGGAGGGTTTTTTTTTTTTTTTGTTTGTTACAAAGAGCTGTGCAGATGATTCGACTTACAACAGCAATGATTATTTAGAGTTCCTCCGAATTGTATGGAAAGAATGCATTCATCTGTCCTGTACAGTTTGAAGGGACCGGAAATGTACATTCCAAAAGTACTGATTTCATATTTGAGCACACAGAACACATGAGCTAGCTTATTTTTGTCAGGACTGCAAAACTCCAAGTGTTGCAATTATTCTCCATATTCAAGTGACTTATTATTGTTTAAAATGATTTTTGTGGGATGTGCTTGGCATGTGATCATGATGCCATGAATACCATCAATGACTAGTATTTCAAACATTAAGAATTCTTTTTTTTTTTTTTTTTTTTTTTCTTTTTCTGTGGATTAACCCTTCAAGTGGCCAACAATTTTGCCCCAAATACATAAAGTTTCTAAAATGGCCATAAGTAAGTTGTACTTTATTGATTATAATTCCAAAATAACCTTTTCAATTCATACCTTAACTTTTTTTCTTCCTATATCTGAATTATACGGAATTAGCTAATTGAATCATCTGGACATATTTCAAGATGCCACTTAAGGACATATTTAACCACATATTTAAAAGCAGATATCATGACTAATATTTTTTAAGAAATATATACAGTTTTTGGCCAATTACAGGTTAAAGTGTTCTTAACCCTGCACCAAGTGAACAAAAATCATATGAATGGCCTTACAGAAATTCTAGATGAAATACATTGTAATAGGATATAATAATATATATATAAGATAAAAAAATATGTAGCTATGAATTTTACTTACAATTAACAATAGGTCCTTAAATGCTCTTTTTAATTTGGGCACTTCCTCCTTTAAGAGCGTTTAATACCCCTTTCTCATGTCGATTTTTAATAACAGATGGTGCTACGAACGTTGAGCGCTAAAGACTCAAATCTGTAAGACTACCTACAGCCCGGTTACTATGGCAACGACGCTTCCCTTTCCTTTGTACTCGTTTGGCGGGAAAGTGAGTAAGCCATAAAACACTTAAACACATCCCCTCAGTTGAACAAAAGGACCTGCTGTCATTTCTTCCGTCTGTGACTCAGACTGCAGGGTATGTTTTGAACAGGAATAGAACTTTTTCACTTTTGTGTTGAATGAAAGATATCTATGAGATACGTGCAGCAGTCGCTATTTCTTTTCGCAAAATTTGTTCATCACGCTTTTCAATGTTGCGTAATGTTTCATAATTTGCCGTTATTCAAAAATAACTAGATTTTTAAGCATTTCGGTAATTTCATCGCGACATAAAAATTATATATAAATGAATTTATACTTGATGATATGTGTATACATATATAGCATGCACATAATATTCCATTTACTTATCCATCCATAATATTCCATAAATATGTGTTAGCACTTTCCAAAGCTTTATATATATTTTTTACTTGTATTATAAAATCGTATAACACTCCTAACTATTATTTTTTTATTTCAAAAGTGGATAAATCATTATCAAATTTTTCTAGTACATGGCACATTATTTGAGATCCGCTTTGAATGAAAACTACATAAAGTGTTATAATGAACAATCAGTTTCAAGATTTCACTTGATACTGAAATGCATAAAATCAAATTGCGTTTCTATGTTTCAGGTTTATAAAATACAGCTGATAATTGAAGGGGTAAAGTACAAGCTGATAATACATGATAAGGGGGAAGAAATTCCTAAATTACAAAATTGAATATTATATTTTATATATAATATTCAATTTTGTAATTATAAGTATATAATATTCAATATAAGTAAAATGATACATATTATAGATACATCCTAAAAAACGATAATATTTATATATATATATATATAGTATATATATATATATATATTGTATATCGTATATATATATATTATATTTATATGTATATGTACTCTTTTCCGGATGCAACTGTAATTACGTACTGAGCTGGTTTATCATCTTCCTGTAGCGACGCATTTGGATTTGCTGTGAATGAATGAATTGTTTCATTGAACAGGAACAAATAGGAAACAGAATATTGAAAATTGAATTTGTTTTAAGCATTAGTAATTTATATATGTTAGATTGACTAAAAAGAGTATATTCATGCATAACGTATAAATAAGCGAAGTGAATACTTTTTGGCAATCATCCTTTCTAGGATGATCATTTTTTGAAAATAACCAGTACTGTTGATAACATAAACACCGGTACGATCTATCTGCCTAAGGAAAAGGATGCCTTCGTGGAAGACTTTCTAAGGGGAATTGACTCCTATGCACGTTACACAGGGTAAAACCACGAAAAAGCGCAGCCAGTCGGACCGAGCTACTGGTGTTCAGCTACTTTACTGCTTCGTGCCTCATTTCAGAGCGGATTCGCTATATATGAAACAGAGCAATGTGCTGTTACCGTATTTAGCAGCCTGCCTTTTTCCTTGACCTACCATAAAAAAATAAAATAGCAAAATTATAACAGCGTTTCTAAA